CACAGCCGCCCATCTCCATCCACGACCAGACCCCTCCACAGCCGCCCATCTCCACGACCAGACTCCTCCACAGCCGCCCATCTCCACGACCAGACTCCTCCACAGCTGCCCATCTCCACGACCAGAATCCTCCACAGCCGCCCATCTCCACGACCAGACTCCTCCACAGCCGCCCATCTCCATCCACGACCAGACCCCTCCACAGCCGCCCATGTCCATCCACGACCAGAATCCTCCACAGCCGCCCCCCCAGTTTTATGACCAGACTCCTCCAGCTGCCCCCCCAGTTTGATGACCAGACTGCCTGGGTTTCCCAACCTGCTTGCCCCCCCCATCCGAGGACTGAACCTTCAGCCACCCTGGCTTCTGACTTCATCTGTTTCGTCCTCTGCCCCAGGCTCCTCACAGGAAGCTTCGTCTCCTGATGCCTGCGGCGAACGCCTTCTCGGCCAGCGAGGAAGAACGACCACCACACCAGGAGTCTTCTCAGATCACGCTTTATTGGACAGCCTTTGAATTGATGGGAGAGCTTGAGCGCGAGAGCGCGTGTACCCAAAGCATGGCCGCTTATATAGGGAATAGGAACACTGTCGTTTTCCCATTGGTCGTCTGCCTTTCGCCGTCACCAGGTGCCACGGGATTGGCTGGGGACTCTACGTGGCTCGCGCATGCGCAAAGCCCAGGACCCACCGTCCCGCCAAGCACTGCCTAATATGGAGTTGCCTCAAAACTGCAAGGAAGTGGGCGGCGCCTTCGCGCCGGCTCCCCACAGATGCCCAGATAAATTCCGGAAGAAAATTGTAACGTATTTCTTTTAAAGAATCAACTGGTGGAGGGTGGGACCTCCATTTCCAGTTAACTAGCAAACTTCCATACAGGAAGCATGCCTTAAGTAAGGGCCAGAAGTAAGAAAGCTGAGCAAGAGTGCAAACCCATGCTGGCTTCAGCAGCACTTATACTAAATCGGAAGGATACAGAGAAGATTATCATGGTCCCTGCGCAAGGATGACAGGCAAATTCGTCAAGAGTTCTGTATTTTTAATTTGTGGAGGAGAAGGGAAAAACATTGTTTGAATAGGGATATGGTGGACCCATTGCAACAATGAGATGTCCAAGTTGTTATGTCGAAAATGAACTTTACAACTTTGGTGGGGGTGGAGGAGGATGAGAAGGGGAAACAAAGGAGGAGGCTACAATGCTTGAGAAGAAATGTACTCATCTTGCCCATGTAATTGTAATCCCTCTACACGGTATTTTCACAATCACAATAAAAAAAGAGTGCAAAGCTCTGAGTTCAAGCTCCAACACACACACACACACACACACACACACACACACACACACACACACACACACACGGAGAGGGTCAGCTTGAAGAGGTATATGAATAACCAATCAGAACATCGGAGAGCTCAGCATTAAGCATCAGAAAGAAAAGAAAAACAAAACAAAGAATTACAGGAAAGGCATAACAGGGACACACTGTACTAGAAATTTACACAGCTTAATCTCCATTATTTTTCCTTTCTAGAGAAGCTTAATGAGACACACTCCAAGACCTTGGCAGACATGAGCAAAATGCTGGGAGGGGTCTGCCCAAACTGGAACCCCCTGGATACCAGGGCCTTGTGCCAGCCTGTATGCTTAAAGAACTGGATGGGAATCAGCGTTTTTTGTTGTTGTTGTTGTTTGGTCAGTTGTGGGGCTTGAACTCTGAGCCTGGGCGCTGTCCCTCAGCTCTTCAGTTCAAGGCAAGCGCTCTACCACTTGAACCACAGCACCACTTCTGGTTTTCTAGTGGTTTATTGGAGATAGGAGTCGCATGGTCTTTCCTGTCCAGACTGGCTTTAACCTGATCCTCAGATCTCAGCCTCCTGACTAGCTAGGATGACAGGCATGAGCCACTGGTGCCAGCTGGAACCGGTCGTTTGATTCTACCCTAGGGGAGATCATTTTGAGGCACATCCTGCTGAGTGGGCTTGTGAGCCCATCCCAGTAAAGCCCATGTCCCTGGTCTTGTTTCCTGGCCACCGGGAGCCCTTAAGCTACCTGCCTATTTCAGAATGCCTGCAGGACGCAGGAATAGGTTCCACAGAAGGGCTAACTTGGAAGACTTTGGCAGTTGTGAAGGTAAATGTACATGAACCTATGACTCTACTTGCCAATTCTGGGGCTTGAACTCAGGGCCTGGGCACTGAGCTTTTGCTCACTTGAGCCATGTCTCTACTACCACCTTTAAAAGGCAGTTTTAGTGGAGAGAAGAATCTCACAGACTTTTGGCTGGGCTGGCTTTGAACTGGCTGGCTTTGATCTCAGTCTCCTGGGTGGCTTACAGGCTTACAGACAAGATACAAATGCTTGTCACAGGCTTACCCACAGTAGTTAAAGATGATCGCGAATGATCTGCATATTCACCATGAAAAGAATGAACAATGCAGCCTACATAAACTTGAGCACAAAGAAAATGGATGACATGGCCTGTGAAAATGTGGATTGCTTTTCTGGGTCCTCAGCAACCCAGGAAGGCTTGCAGGGACACAGAATCTTCCAGCCAGACGCAGACCTCAAGACCAGGTGCCCGGGAGGGAGGGAGGGGTGTTAGGGGCAGGAGACCCCCATGCAGGGAGAGGCTGCAAGCTGGTGTGATCAGCCTCTCCCATGTGCAGCTTCGTTGTCCACCCTGGTGGTATGACGCAGACTGCCGCTGTGCCAAAACAAAGCCCTCTGCGCGGCTGGCCAAGCGCTTAAGACCTGGCTGAGCTACTGTGATGAGGAATGGTGGTTGTGGAACATGGACTAGGGAAAGGCCCGCGAGGGCCCTGTGGACCGTGGGTCCGCATGTGTGACACGCTGGTGAGTGCTTGTGTGGTGTGTCCAGAGGAGGCAGGGCCTGAGCGGGTGAGGAGGAAAGCCCCAGCACGGGCTCCCTGGGGTTCTGGGCACTGCGGGGAGTGCAGGCCTCGCTCTGCCACCACTTGCTGGTTGCCATGACGAGCTGTGGTGGGCTGAGTGCAGCAGTGTGCCCCGCACGGGCCACAGAGACCCCGCAGCGGCACCCAGGCTGGGCAGACTCTGGGGGAGGATTGCGCGTCCCGTCTGGCATGGAGGAAGGAAGAGCTGGGGAGTGGAGGACAGCAGGACACGGGGGTGGGTGCGGCCCGGTGACGCAGAGCCCCTGGGCACTGAAGATGGAGGTAACAGCAGCTGCCGTCAGAATCCCAGGCCCACGGGAGCCAGGGTGACTTCAGGCTGGAGCCGCTGCGGGGGGGCCCTGGTGCTAGGTAGCTGTGGCTGCCCGCTGTGCTGAGCCCCCTGGCTACAGGGAAAACCCAGGCCCCAGACAGGTGCCTCCCTGCCCACCTTTTGGGCTGGCAAGAGAGGACAGAGAAGACGCAGGTGTTAGAAACGCCTCACACTGAAATGAGAAATAGAAAGCTATTTTATTAACACGCTTTACATTTACAGTTTATTAGCTAATCAACATCAACATCAACATGCAAAAATAAGCGCTAGGTACAAACCGCTACACTATGTTGTGTGTGAACTGCAATGGTTCATTTGTTTGAAAACCCATCGGTTCTTTTTCGGCTGAACTATCCGTTTCTGTGATGAGTAGCATTTAGACGTTATGGTTACAGAGCCACGGGCAAGGCCTCTGCAGAAACTTGGCCCAGTGGATCTCCGAGTGAATACATTCTCGAAGGAAGTAAGGCGGGTGTAGATGAGATACACGTGGACACAACCCCACACCCACAGCCCACCCTGTGGGCGGAGCCCTGGGGAAGAAGCCCCGGGGTGGCACCCGTGTTCTGGCAGCAGCTCCAGAGGGAAGTCAGGAAAGGCCTCAGGTTGCAGTCACTGCAGCCCACGGGTGGGCCGGCATCCTCCTGGGGCTGTGGCCCACACAAGTCATTCCTCAAGCTTCCCACATCCGGTCGCTAACAAAAGGAGGAAGCTGAGAAACACAAGTAATTGACTCCTCCTTTTGAGAGGTTCCGAGCTTCTCCCAGTGTTTGGGTCGGGCTGTAGAGAAAGTTTCCTCTGAGAAGTGCAAGAACTTTGCAGTAGCATCCAACAGTCGACTCACATTACAAAACCCTACAGATCAAAATGCTGCCCTCAGGTACAGACTTAGTAACTCTCACTTCCTCTTCCTAAGAGTGGGTGTTGTTCCTCACTGATCTTTGGTCGCAAGAAACAGAAACGCCGGGGCAGGCAGGGGTTGGGAGGGAGGAAGGCAGGCCCCAGCCCCGCAGCCTGGCCGGGCGAGCCTCGGCGACACGGGGCCTACATGATGTACACTTTCTCCGCCTGTGAGAAGTGGAAGACTTCTTTGGTTCTTGGGCAAACAACTTTATCATCTTGACGGATAGAAAGGAGAGACTGAAAAACAAGACCAGCACAGAAAGCTGAAGATGTGTGACGTACCTGAGGGGCTCCGTAACAAACACCAACCACCCGACTGTTGGAAAGAAGCCTAAGTATTCAAGTCACGTCTGTCAAAG